CCAGCCGCCGCCTGAGCCACCAGATGCCCGGAGAGACGCGGGAGGCCGCGGGGGGCGGAGGACCGGGATAACCATCCCTTCCACCCCGAGCCGGGCCGCCGGCCCTCGAGAGCCCGCGCCCACCGTGGATGCCCGTTCCCGGCTGGGCCAGGACTCTGTCTTCATGGACATCGTCTAGCGTCTCTGGAGCTGTCATCCTGAAGAATGGGGGTGAAGGGGAGCTGGCTCCGGGCCTCGCCCTTCGCAGCTCCTCCCCTGTCAGGCCGGGTCCTCCACTCCCTGACCTCTGTCTCCTGACTCCCTCCATAGGATTCTGAGCACACCCACAGCCCCCCTCCTCTCTGAATCTCGGTGTCCTTCCGTCCACCTGCAATAAACTCCAGACCCAACCGTCTGCTGCTGTTTGTCTTGTCTGCAGAGCTACCTCCCCTCTCAAGTGTGAGGGAAGTCTTTCCTGGCATCTGGTCTTTGTCCCTCTTGCCCTGGGGTGGGCTGGGTGTGTTCTTCCCTTCCCTAGGAGGTTCCTTTCCTTCCACCCTCATCATGTAGTTTTGGGGTTGGGAGGGGGGAAAGAGGCTTATCTGCAACAGGGCAGTTGAAGGTCAGACAGTGTGAAGGACTTTGCAATTTTTTGTATGCTTGGGACAGGACAAGTGCCTTTGGTGGGAAGCAGAGGGTCCGGCCTTCTGTCACAGCACGGGAGACAAGCGGAGAGGTGGGATGATTTCAAGCAAGGACTGGGGTTCCAGGACTTGTGCTTAGTATAATTACAATGTCAGGGACAGAGGCTAAGTCACTCTGGGATGTGAGGAGGCTGCTGGGGGTTGAGAGATGAGGGTGGACAGTGATGGTGGTGTCACTCCTCTGCCTCCCTGGAAATCTCAGAGGAAGTTCTCACATCACTAGCTGCCTTCAAAGATTAGTACCACCTCCCGGGCTGCAATGCTGCTGTAAACCAAGGCAGAGAAACTCATGTCTTGCTGAAAGAGTCAGATGTACTTGAACCCATTTTCCCACCTAGGGTCCTGGGCACGGCACTGGACCCTGCACGCAGGAAGTGGTTTCCCTGTCCAGCCTCCTCCTCTGAACTGGGGACTTGCGCGGGGGAGTGAGGCTGAGCCTCCTCCCTCAGACTGGGACATCTGTGGATACCAACCGTGCTAGGAATGTCAGTCATTCTCTTTTCCTCCCCCTTCCCTCTACTCCAGTACCATTTCCCAGAGGGTGTCTCCAGAAGGCAGGGGAGCTCAGGAAGCCAGCACCCCTTAGTGTTAGCATAGGTGGTGGTTAAGGGCGTTGACTTTGGGGCCAAGATGTCCAGATTCAAATCCCAGCTTTTCCTCTCACTAGCTGTGTGACTTCGGGCAGGCCTCTCAACCTCTTTGGTCTTGTAAAGTGAAGATGATAATAGTATTTATCTCATAGAGCCTCTCTGAGGATTAAATAAGCTAGTGGTCTTAAAGCAGCTTCACATTCATTCTCTGCGCTCACCTCTTTCCCTTGGGGCTTTAAAAACCAAAGCCTGGCCCAGCCGGCGTGGCTCAGCGGTTGAGCGTCGACCTAGGATCCAGGCGATCGGAGTTTGATTTCTGGTCAGCGCACATGCCCGGGTTGCAGGCTCGATCCCCAGTGGGGGCATGTAGGAGGTAGCCGATCAATGACTCTCTCATCATTGATGTTTCTATCTCTCTCTCCCTCTGAAATCAATAAAGATATATTAAAAGAGAGAGAGAGAAGTGAAGGCCAGACATACATGGGGAAGAGTGCTCCAGGAAGTGGGAACAGCAAATGCAAAGGCCCTGAGGCTGGAGGTGCTTGGCTTGTTTGAAGAACAGCAAAGAGGCCAGTGTGGCTGGAGCTGAGTGAGTGGGGGGAGAGCAGGAGGAGATGTGGTGGGAGAGAATGGGGGGGATTGTGCAGAGCCTTATGGGCCATGGTGAGGACTTTGGCTTTTACTCTGAGTGAGGTGGAGCCATGGGAGGCTTCTGAGCTGAGGGGGAATGTGAGCCAATTTAGTTATTTTTTAATTTTTATTTTAAAATATATCTTTATTGATTTCAGAGAGAGGAAAGGAGAGGAAGAGAGAGAGATAGAAATGTCAATGATGACAGTCATTGACTGGCTGCCTCCTGCATACCCCCAATTGGGGATTGAGCCCGCAACCTGGGCATGTGTGCTGGCTGGGAATCGAACCCCGATGCACCAATGCCATGGGGCTGTCAGACAGCTGTTTGCAGCAGCAGGATCTCTTAAAGAGGGATCTGAGCAGCGCCCTTCCATGGCCACAACAGGGACCTAAACTATTTCTAGTTTTTTCTGTGCACAGGACCAACCTCATCCCCAAGCAGCTTCACCAGGTGCCCACAGATCCAGCTGAACTGCAAGGGCTGGGAGTGCCAGGAGGGGGCGATGAAGAGTTCTCCTGGATCCTGCAGTTTCTCTCCCAGGCCCACCCCTGGAATAGATGATTTACAATTAGAGCAGAAATATATGTAGATGCACTTGTGAGGGCCCTGCTAATAGAATCCTGCATCCTTTATCCGCAATTCCAAATTCCAAAAGCTCTGGAAACCAAAAAATATTTTTTGGGGGAATAATTTTGGCCCAGTCTCATATGGTGGTAAAATCAACTAACACGAGTTATTTACACTCTTTATTTATCTTCTTTGGTGTGAATTTTCACACATTATATGAACATGTCTGATGGGAAGGGGGCTGCTTTAGGCCTTAGGGGTGTTACATAATCTATGGCATTCACTCAGAATTACCTTTCTAAAATTGGAACAATTCTGAGTTCTGAGATGCCTCCGTCTCCAAGGACTTCAGCTAAGGGATTATGGACCTCCAGCTGGGCATGCTGCCAAACCTAAATTCATCTTAATTATTTGTTCAACATTTATTTAATGGCTTTGGGCAGAAACTCATTTTCCGTTACAATATTTTAAAAATAGAAAATGGCGTTCATTTACAAAGTCCCCTTTGTTAATGCGATACTATTTTTAGTGCTGTGTGTCTGTGTAATTGAAAGTGTGTCTGTGTATATGGGACTGTATGAGTGTGTGTCCATGTGTGAGTCTGTGTCTCTTTGTGAGTGTGACAATATTTCTGTGTTTGTGTATATGCAGATCTGTGTGACCTATTGGGTGTGTGGGTGTTTGGTCGTGTCTGTGTGACTGTATGTTTCTGAGCATATAATTGTTTGTATGTGATGGTGGGGCTGTGTGCTTGTGTTTGTGTGTGAATGTGCATGAGAGGAGGCATGGCTAAGGGTTTAAATTTAATATGCTGAGCTCGGCAGGGTGTGGCTCAGCGGTTGAGCATCAACCTAGGAGCCAGGCCATTGCGGTTCCATTCCCGGTCAGGGCACAGGCCTGGGTTGTGGGCTTGACCCCCAGTGGGGGGCGAGCAGGAAGCAGATGATCAATGACTCTCTCTTATCATTGATGTTTCTCTCTCTCTCTCTTTTTGTCTCTCTCTCTCCTTCTCCCTTCCTCTCTCTGAAACCCATAAGGATATATTTTAAAAAGGAAGGCCTCCTTAAAAAAAAAAAGTTAATATGCTTAAATAAAGTTCTCATTTTGT